GGATTTTCAGATTCAGAAGATTCACCCTCAGAGGAGTCTCCCTCTGAACTTTTTTGGTGTGTGTAGACAGTATGGTAGTGTTTAATTAGTGTCACTTGTGTCTATTGTGGGGAGGGGAAGGGAAAGGGATTATAAACTGCTCTGGGACTCCTGCAGGTAGTGAAGGGCAGGATATACATCCATTCTCCTCCTCCTTCGTATTACACAGTAATGTAACATACATCTATTGGGTTGCTGGGCCCTCTGCCCTTAGTATCTTCATTGACCTTCTGCACGTTCTTAACTTAAAATAAGGCTTCATGCAGCTGACAGAATGGGCTGTGTTCCCAGTGAGGTAGGCTATGGTTTACATTATCCTGTGCCACAATAAATGTGCTTAAAAAAATGACTGGGTAGTTTTTACTCTTGACCTTCGCTAATGCCCTTTTGTGCTGAAGTTCTTCATTGTTTAATTTTGGATAAAATCAAAGCATGTTTTGCATATATTCAAATGTCTTTAAGCACATCAGGTAGATATTTAGGTTAATGGGCTACTTTTGTCCAGGAATGTACAGTGTACAACTTCAGATCAGACAAAGTGAGCTTTGACTCACCAAAGCTTATACCCTGGAAAATGTTGCTGGTCTTTAAGGTTCTACTGGACTCAGGTTTTTGTTCTGCTGCTACAAACTAACACCTGAAACCATGTACAGCATTCACTGATCCTCTTTGGGGTTTGTTTTTTACAGAAAAAGCACTAGGCTTTGTTCCTGCCTGAAATGTTCACCATTTTATTCAGAAACCTTGCCTATTAAATTCCAGGTGTGTGGGAAGGGCTATAATTTATAGGAGAGGGATTCTTCAGATGCTCAGATGTATCATTTGATTATTATTTCACAAATTCCAGGGCTGAGGTCACATCTTCTAGGGTTTCTTTTATCATTTAGATGCAATATATCACATATTATCTGCTTCCCCCCCCCTTCAGTTGCTGTATCGAGAATGGGCACGATATGGAGCATTTTACAAGTTTCAGCCGATTGATCTTGTAAGGTAATAAACTTGACGTAATGGGATGTTTGGTTTAAGTAAAGCTGGCAAAGTTGCATTTGATTTGCACCATATGAAGCCATTGGTCTTAGATAACAGAGAAAGGTGATTTTTTTCTTTTTTTACATTATATAAGACCACAGACTTTCAGCAGAAGAACTAAGCATTTCAGTCAAGTTGAGGCAATTTGCCTTAATAGTGCTTGTGGGCCTGTATTAGCATTACTTTACAGGAAAAAACAAAACAAAAGAACCCTCCCCAAAGTCTAGTGATTAATGAAGAGATTCCATCTGCATTCCTGTGCTCACAGAGGTGTCATAGCATTGCTTGGGATTTCCTCTTCCTGAAACCATTTTCCACCCACCATTCAGACCACTATGATGCACATTAGTCAGTCTAGCACCACAAACAATGAAAAGGAAATGGGTAGGGGGTGGTTTTGTAGGCTGACAAGTTATTCAGTTGCAAGGCCCTTGTAGAAGGAGAATTGTGGGTGAAGCTTTAATTCCCAGTGCCCTGGGGCTGTAGGAGAGACTAGTTAAGCAGTTCATGCCAGGGTGCTGATGCCACCAAATAGCGGAAGTGTTGGGTGGGGGGAAGAGAAAATGGGGCAAACTACCCCTGGACCCCAGAAGGCTAAGAAGGTTGGTTTTTATATCTCGCCCTTCAGTTAGAGTCTCAGAGTGGCTTACAATCTCCTTCCCTTCCTCTCCCCACAACAGACTCCCTGTGAGGTAGGTGAGGCTGAGAGAGCTCTGAGAGAACTGCTTGACTGACCCAAGGTCACCTGACTGGCTGTATGTGGAGGAGTGGGGAATCGAACCTCGCTCTCCAGATTAGAGTCCACCGCGCTTGACCACTGACTCTCACACCAAGCTGGCTCTCACACCAAACTGGGCCTCCCAGTGTATTGGTTCATATTGTATAGGTTTACTGGTCCAACAAGTTGTGTTCATCTAGTGTTTGATGATCAATGGATTGCCAGCCTCCAAGTGGGGCCTGGAGTTCTCCCAGAATTAGACCAGTTCCCCTGGAGAAAATTGCTACTTTGGAGGGTGGACTCCATGTCATTATACCCCACCCCAAACCCCTCCCTCCCCAGGCTCCACCCCCCAAATCTCCAGCAATTCCCCAACCCAGAGTCAAATAGGAACGTCGAACAGGAAGTCTTACTGCCTGCCTGCCTGATAAATAGAGTTACATGGTATTAATGCATTTAAATCATCTTCAAATTCTACACAACAAATTATATAATGCTTTTATTGAGTTGTTATTCCATGTTCTCAGATATGCAAAGTTGCCCACAAACTGCATTTGCAAGAAGGAGGGTCCCAAGACTACGGTTTGCCCAGGAAGCGGATTTCCTCTCTGCAGCCCTGCAGATTAGATTTCTTCTGCTCCTGAGAATCAAAGTGGTGCCATAGAACCACTTCTGTTCTGTTGTCTGCTATGAGACTCTAAGACCTGCTGCGTTCCCTCCATGTTGGGAGCTTGTATCTGTGGGAAGACACTGCGCTCCAATCCCCCCACCCCCCTGCTTCCAGACTGTCTGTCTGTCAATTACTTTCTCACCAGTAATCCTGCCTGGTCTAGATAATGGCTATCTCCAAAAATACAGTAGGCTGGGCTTTCCCAGCACATGGGCCTGGATGCTTAACAAACTTATACTCAAGCCTTGAGGTCCAGATAGTTGTGAAAGATCTGAGTTCACCATTCTTTCCCAAGGAAGCCCCATTCTGGGACTATGAGGACTAATGTAAACATAATGGTGGCCATAGAAAAAGCACTTGTGGATGCTTCGTGCAGCTACCGTAGTTGAACAAAAGGCTTTTTTACCCCAACCTTTGTCATGTAAGTGTAGTAATATTAAAGTAAAAATCGATACCACTCTGGCTTCCAGAAGCCACATGCAAAATGAGCCAGTCATGGGGAAAGAGCCTTTGAAACGTGACACCATCTCTGCAGAGTAGCTAACCCGCTGTCTGCTTTTTGGGTGACAGTCATCACATTTAAATCAGTCCCCACTGTTTAATTATAAAAATAGCCTTTCCATTAATAGCTTTCCTACCATCCCTCCCAATAAGTTTTGAAGCAGCTACTAATTGTCCCCATCATACAGTCTGAAAACTGGGTTGCCAGCCTTCAGGGGGGGGGGGGGGGGGGGCTGGTCTCTATTCTACATATATCAGTTCCGCTGGAGAAAAAGGCAGCTTTGAAGGGTGGAGTCTCGGCACTGCTTCCCTGCTGAGCTTCCTCTCCTCCCCAAACTCCACCTTCCCCAAGCTCAGTAGAAGTAATCTTACTAGGGTACTCTTACTAGGGGTAAGAAATCACTAGGAATTCCCCCAACCCGGATTTGGCAACCCTATCTGAAAATCACTGGTTCAGATAAATACAGGGATTTATTTATTTATAATTTATTTATAAATTGATATTTGATTGTCTGAACCCATAGTCTTCAGGCAGTATGATGAGGGACAGCTAGTGGCTACTTCAAAACTTATGGGGGGGATAGTGGGAAAGCTTTTCCATAGCCATTGATACTAGGGTTGCCATCTCCCCAATGGGGGTTCCCCTAATTTCAGGGGGCCCAATCCACCACCGGCCAGCTGGCCAGCAGGAGAAGCCCTGCCCCTGAAGAGCCCCACCACACCTATTGTGCCCAGAGGTGACATCATTGCACTGGGCACGTTGTGGGGGGGGGGTGCTCTAGCACTTGGCTAAAAACTTTATGATGACCATAGAGTTTCTGGCCAAATGCTAGAGCATCCCCACCACAACGTGCCTAGCACGGTGACATCACTTCTGCCAGAACATCCACAGGAGTGGGCTGGAGCCCCCTGCCGGCAAAAGGTAGGAACCTGGCGACCCTAACTGCTACACATACTCCCGATGCAATTTTGTGGGTGGGTGTGTTCCGTGGTCCAATCCCTGTACACAGTGGGCAACCCTGAGACCAACCAGGCCAGGCCAGCACCCTGTGTAAACTGAGGATGTAGTATAGAACATTCCACAGAACCTTCTGCAGCGAACAGGTTTTCCATGGCAGACGAGCAGGGGGCCACTTTACAGGCAACCATGTGGAAAAAGTTCCTAGAAGTCTGAAAGTTTTAGGAGCTCCTATACGACGAGGATGAGCTTGGTGCCAGGATGGAATCCAGATGGAATGAAATTACGAGGCAGTACACCCTTGTCTCTTCTTATACTAAAGCAGCACTTCTGGGGTGGTTTTATGCTCTCCCTTTGCCAGGCCTCACCACAGCGATGACTTCTGTTTAGAACACTGTTGTGTAACACAGATAATTATCTGCACATTCTATGACTCATGGCTGGGCGAACATGGACATTGTTTGATAGGACAGGACATGGGTATGAACAATCTGAATAGGCTTTTCAGCTCGGTGACTCAGCAGAATTTGGTGTCTTTTGTTTGTTTTAGCTTTTCTCCTAAAGGCATTTAAAATTCTTTCCAGTGTACATCACACATCATAATTCCATACTCTCATTCCAGGTAGCTCAAACTTATTAAATATTTTTCTTGCATTTTCTCCCAGTCTATTCTCCTGGTAAACTGCTCTGGAGACATACAGAAAAAAATTATTCATATTTGTTTTTCTGCCCCCACCCCTTCTCCAAATTAATTAAACTTTAACTTAAAAAAAATATTTCTTCCAAGTTGGATGAAAACAGCAGAGATTGTACCCTTCACCTGTGGGATCCTGCTTCCCAAAAATCAGGCAGATAGGCAAAAGTCTCCCTGTTTTGTAGACAATTTAAGGCAGAAAACATTTGGGGTTCTAACTTTTCTCTCAACCAACTATGATTGATGCTGAGGGACTCTGGCTCTAACTTGAGGGATCCTTCTGACCAAAGTTCAGACATACAAAAGAAAGAGTCCTCTACGCAATTAAAATTCTCACTTGCACTGTAGGCCCAGGAGGAATCTAAGAATCTAACTACCCCAAAAGGTGGGCAGAAGAGCAAATGGAGAGGCTTTTTTAAAAAATTATTGCCTTTACTGTTTTTGCAACCAGAGTCATAAACAGCAAGCCCTCATCCCACAATAAACCTTGTTCCACAGGAAAACATGGAAGAACTTAAAGGTTGCTACTGCAGAAGTTGTGGGGAGGCTTTCAGCCTTACAAGAAAGACAAGTGAAGATAACACAGCAGAGGAGAAACTGAGGCTTGTCCAGCTGGAAAATTATTAGAGTGGAAAGCAAACTTTTTCTGTCCTTCCCTTTGAGTGCAATCCTACATAGGAACACTTGAAGGCTCCAGTCACACACACTAAATAATCCACTTTCAATACACTTTCAGTGTACTTTCCAACTAGATTTTACTGTGTGGACTGGCAAATCAAGTTGGAATGTGCATTGAAAGTGGATTGAAAGTGGATTATTTAGAACCAGAAAGGTTAGAAATAACTGGAGCAAGATATTGCTGATAAATCTTAGTAAGATCGATAAAACCAGGGCTATTTAAAAAAAAAAGAAAAAGAGGTGCCGGAACTCTCAAGAGGGAAATGAAGTTTTCAGTCTGTATACTAAAAACTCATGAGCTTTTAAACATTTTAAAAAGAATTCTGTCAAAGAGGTTCCCCCAGAAAAAAAGCCCTTGATTAAAAGTATTAATCCTTTGTGACACTGTTTGTAAAATGCTGGGCTATTGATTGAAGAAACTCTAATAGAGAAATGCTTGCACTTATCTGTTGAACTTTTATGTTTTCCTCTTTTTTTAGAAAGTATTTTGGAGAAAAAATTGGAATGTATTTTGCCTGGTTGGGCTTATACACAGAGTTCCTTATTCCGTCTTCTATAGTTGGGATCATAGTCTTCCTGTATGGATGTATGACCATTGAAAGTGATATTCCCAGGTAAGATTGCACATGGGGTGTGACTTCTTGTGTACCAGTTGGGATCTCTTTTTGGAATGGATAGCATTACAGTCAGAATATGTGTTTTAGTCAGAGCAGAACACCCACTGAGATAGACCTCTGGTCCTCTTCTGTTTCATCTTCCAGTTATATCCTTGCTGCCCCCTACCATTGGGATGCTGTGCCTGCTGACATCTGTCTGGTTCCTTCCAGATGAAACATTTTCTTACAAACCCACCTCTTGTCCTTGCAGTGGTGCTGCTTCCTCTACTTTTTCCTTCTAGTCCAGGGGTGTAGAACTCATTTGTTATAAAGGCTGGATCTTACATAAATGGGACTTCGTTGGGCTGGGACATAAATGGGACTTTGTTTGTCATAGAATGTAATACCAGGTAGCGGAGATTAAAGGAGACAAACATGATTAAAGATGCAATGCAGCACTGGGCTGATGCCCCCATACTGCCTGGAATGAGAAGCAAACCCTTTCCCCAGCCTGCTTTCATGGTTAATACTCTGAGCCTAGGTCCCAGGGAAAAACATGAAATGGCTGGGCATTTAACGCCCCCCCCCCCCCCGGTCTACTCAAAGTGGCATTGGCTTTCCAGGGTCTCAGGTTGAAGTCTTTCTCATAATAAACCACAGCCTTTTAACTGGAGCTGCCAGGGATAGACCCACCTGGCTCCTTAGCTCAATGAACACCAAAGAAAAGCCTCCACCAGGAACCACAGCATTTGCAACCAAGCCCCGTTCCCCTCAGCCAGCAAACTTCAGCAAATAGCTCTAGCAGACCCACCTGGCTCCTTAACTCAATGAACATAAGAGAAAATCCTCCATCGGGAAGCACAAAGTTTGCAACCAAGCCCCCTGCCCTCAGCCAGCAAACTTCCAGCAAATAACTCTAGCAGACCCACATGGGCACAGGAGAACTTGGGCACGGGAGACAGGAGACTTGGGCACATGAAGTTGCTCTCCAGTGTTTCCTTCTCTTCTCCTACCCCCAAAGGCAGCCATGTAATCTACAATAATCTGGAATAGCAGATTGACAGAAGGGGGCAGGGGCTTTTTGACCAGGAAGAAAAAAGGCATTAGGATGACTGAGGGCCAGTTTACACTTTTAAAAATTCTTTTGCCCCCCCCCACCACCCAGCCTGTTGACAGACATGGCCTGGGAATTCCATGTGCAGAACTTAATTCCCAGGTGCATGTGACCCCAGTTCAAATTGAGACCACTGCATGTGGGGACAGAGGGTTTAAGCTTTCCTCCCCACCAGGCAGCATTTATCCAACTTGAAATGAACCCAAGAAGCTGCTGTTCGCCCTGCTGTGGAAACGTATGTGTAGCCATCAGTACACATAAGTTTCCCTCGTAAAGAAATAGTGGCTTCCCAGGTTTTAGGGCTGGCAATGCTGGATTGAGAAGTTCCCTGGAGATTTGGAGGGTGGACCTCAGCAGGATCTAATGCCATAGAGTCCACCCTCCAAGCAACCATCTGCTCCAGGGGAACTGATCTCTGTACATTCATTGGATGTACTTGAGTTCTAGTATTTTGGGAGAGGGAGAAAATTTTCTCTTTGTCAACTCTCTCCACCCCATACATAATTTTATAAACCTCTATCACGTCCACGCTAAGTCATTTCTTTTCTAAACTGAAAAGTCCCAGACTCTTCAGCCTTTCCTCATAGGGAAGGTGCTCCAACCCCTGAATAATCTTGGTCGCTCTGTTCTGTACTTTTTCCAACTCTGCAATGCCCTTTTTGAGATACAGTGACCAGAACTGTACACAGTATTCCAAATGAAGCCACACCATAGATCTATACAGGAACAATATCAGCTGTTCTATTCTCCATCCTTTTTCACTGCTGCAGCACACTGAGTTGACACCTTCACTGCAATCCACTGCAATCTTTTCCCCTCTCAGTCTCAGCAAGTTCAGACTAGGGGTGTGCAAAAAAAAAAAAATTGGCCCGATTCCATTTGGCCGAATCTGATTCAGCCCACTGAATGATCCCTGAATGCCACTTTCGGCAATGCAAGCCGATTTGGGAGTCATTCAGCCAGCCGAATCACTTTCGGCCAGGGCATCTGGGCAAGCCAAGGGAAGGCAGTTTAAACTGCCATCCCTCCAAGGGAAGGCAGTTTCAGTGAAGGGAGCCCGCTGCCCTCCAAGCTAGCCCCTCCTGCCTTCCCTGGCCTGCCTGCCAAGGCGGACGGGCCAGGGAGGGCCCTGGAAGGATCGGGGAGGCATTCCCGGGCCGCCTGCCAAAGGCTGGAAAGAAACCCCCCCACCCCTTCCCTGGACTGTCCGCAGAGGCAGGCCAGCCGGGGAACGCCCTGGAAGGTGCGGGGAGGCATTTAAATGCCTTCCCCTCGCCCAGCAAAGGGCTTCCCGGTATGGATGTTTCTAGTGGAATTGAACCTTTGTATACAACTTAGTCTCTAGCTTGTTCAGGCATTCTCGTAATTAATAATAACCATTCTATAAATAATTAGCATTCTTTGTTCCTACACAAAAGGGAAACATGTATATTATATTAGCATTCTTTGTTCCTACACATAAGGAAACATATATATTATATTAGGAACTGCAGAACTTTCCAGTGGCAATATGACTTCAGATCGCACCTCTTAGAAGCATGCACTTCACGTTTTGAAACTATGACCTCATTTAGCAAGATGAATTATAACTCTTTAGAGGGCACAAATAAAGGTCCTAAGTTTTTATACAAACGTTTAATGCTTCTGTGCAAGAAAATACTCTCTGCCAATATCTAAAGTGGTAGGATTTATGACAAAAACTATATGTAGCACCCTCTGCTGCCTTTTAAAACATACAGATCATATCATTATGCATTATTTTTAAATGCTACTGTAATATCTGTAGAAACAGCTTTTGTGGTCATTACAACGTCAACCATGCCCCATACAGAAAGCCTTTTGTGATATGTTCCCTTATTGAAATAGAGTACGCCGACACTGGGGAGTAGATACAATTTGGAAGGGAGAAACAGTGCAGATGCTTAACTACCTCTGACCAGTGTTCCCTCTAAGCTGAGTTAGCGTGAGCTAGCTCACAGTTTTTTAGCCTCCAGCCAACACGTTTTTATCTCAGCTCAGGAAGGAGGGCTCCAGAGCGAACTAATTTATTCAGCAGCCAAATCGCTCCCTCACCGCTTTAATACCAGCAGCTCGCTAAGTAGAATTTTTGCTCACAAGACTCCACAGCTTAGAGGGAGCATTGCCTGTGACTGTCTTCTATGCTTGACTTTCCTGCCATTTTTTTTAAAACCTCAATTGTAGCAAAACCACAGCTGGGGAGAGTAGTGCTGGACAAGAGTAATTCTAAGCACACCTCTCCTGTCCGCTGCCTTCCCCATCCAAACAGCTCATTCCTTGTTGCCCATTTTAGGGTCCTTGTTCTTCCACTGAATAACTAGATATTACATACATGCATGTACCGGTATATATGTATTCAATCCAGTCACAGTTGACTTATGGTGACTCTGTAGGGCAGAGGAGTCAAACTCATTTGTTACGAAGGACAGCTCTGACATAAATGTTACTTTGTTGGGCTGGGCCATGTGTGCCATAAAATTTTGTTGTTGTTATTGTTGTTAATTCAATTTATTCATCACCCTATCCCAGTTTACTCTGGGCTGTGGGTGCTGTACAAGAGAGGCATAATGCCATAAAACAAAATACAAATTTTAAAATCTAATACAGTTAATAAAAATAAAACCAGAATAAAATCCCAGATTGCAATTTACCATTTTCTATTCCCTTTCTGAACTACCTGGCTATATGGTGGGAGGGCGCAGAACTTTACAAAACAACAAAATATGTGGGTATCCAGGTAGTTCACTGGCTTCTTGATTGTTCAAGGTAGATCTTGGTACAATTCCAGAACATCTCCTGGAGGAGACAAATCCACCAGATTATTTGGTCTTCTAGGTTTCCCATGAAGGAACATCACCACAGGTTGTCTCCGATCTGTTGAGGGATAGCCATGAATGCTCACAGTATCTTCAAGAGCCTCTGCTTGGTCACTACTGAGGGAAGGAACCTCTTCTAGAGCCTCTGCTTGGTAGTGCTAGTATTGGTGATATAAACTTTATAAATGACACAGACAAACCCAATTAATGATAATATTTGTACTCTTTCCCTCCCAATCTATTGCCAGCCCTCCTCCTTTTCTCTCCCCTGCCGGCCCTGTCCCTTCATCAGCAAACTGCTGCTCCACGCACCCACTCTCACCAACTCTCCTCATGATTGCCATTTGGTGGAGTAATGACAGTGCCAGCTGCTTGGCTCTGCCCCCGTGTAGCCAGTTCACCTATCCTCACTGAGCTGCAGTCGGAGGAGAGGGGATGGGGATAAAACACCATGCCTCCTCTTTCTCCACCTTCACTAACCATTCTTCCCACACTATTTTACCTCAGCCTCTTAGCCATTTCCTATCTATTTCTTGGGGATAAAACACCATGCCTCCTCTTTCTCCACCTTCACTAACCATTCTTCCCACACTATTTTACCTCAGCCTCTAGCCATTTCCTATCTATTTCTTGACAGCTTTGACCACACATACCTCACCACATGTGCCTGCTCCCCCGCTCCCCCCTAGCAGCCTTCTGCTTTCCCTCACTCACACCAGTTGCTCATGGGATGGATAAGAGCCCTGGATGGGCCAGTTCCAGTCCCCGGGCCATATGTTTGACACCCCTGCCATAGATTCTCATGACAAAAGTTGAACAGAGGTGGTTGGCCATTGCCTGCCTCCATGCAGTAATGGACTTCCTTTCTGGTCTCCCATCCAAGTACTAACCAGTGCCAACCCTCGATAGCTTCCAAGATCTAATAAGATCAAGCTAGTCTGGGCCATCCTGGTCACAGCCTAAATATATACAAAAAGGAAAATACTCAAGGGTTTCAGTATACTGCTTTGGTTACAAGCTGCCTTGAGTAAAATACATCCAGTAAAAGTATTTACTGTTTAACTTGTAAGCCACCTTGAGCAGGTTTCCTGGAGATGCAGCATAGAAATGTTTTGAATAAATAAATGAAATATTCCACTCACCAACTGCCACCTTGGTGAAGGGTCCCCAATGTTGTTGAGCCCAAGGGCAGTTTGAGAACTTTGAAAAACATAAAATGAAGGTTGAAAAGTTTCTCCAATGGATTATGTCTTCCTGACCTGTTGGGTTTTGCTTTATGTAGCAAGGAGATGTGTGACCAACATAATGCCTTCACCATGTGCCCTCTCTGTGACAAGACTTGTGACTACTGGAACCTCAGCACTGCTTGTGCAACAGCACGGGCCAGCCACTTGTTTGATAACCCTGCCACCGTCTTCTTCTCCATTTTCATGGCTCTCTGGGGTAAGCTTCTTTCTGAATGTTTGTATGCCTTAGTCAAAACCCAGACATGAAAAGAAGATGAATGCACTAATAAATGGACAGGGTAATATTGACTGCAATGTGAATTGCAAAACTAAGTGTTTGCTCAGGATTCATGGAGAGCTACAGAAGTGGTGGATTATAGCTGCCACTTTAATCAGTAGATCTAGAGTTTTAGCTGATAAAGCAGGGGAAGTCATTGTTAATTTGTGAGGGAAAGTTATAATCAAAGGTGAAGTTATACTTTTTTATAGAATAGCTTGGTTAGGCCTTAATATAACAAGGCAGAGAACAAAAGTTAAAACAGGACTTCCTTCTGAGACTCTGCTTGTTCTGTGTGTGTTTTAACTTTTAAATTATTTCACAATATCTTCAGTAGCCTCAGAAAGAGAACATATATTTTAGGTTTTGGTAATGCACAGTTTCATTTAAATGTACTTCATTCATTGGCTAAAAGGCTAATCAGTCAAAAATTCTTCCATCATGTGACTGCCTGAAATAGTACTGCCCATGTTATGAAGAAAGTAACCATGAATCTTCTGGTACCTTGTAATCTATCAAAGATATTTTGGCTTCTGTTGATGGAATGACGCCCTGCAAGGCAGGTCCAGACTTCGGTGGGTGTCTGCTGTGCCCAGCCTTTATTCAGGCCCTGATATTAATCTAGAAGACTCATGGAGGCTGGTGAAGCCTATTAGGATATTTGTTTAACATAGCAGAGTTTACCCAGTCATAGAAGCATGATATTGAATACAGTAAATAAATATCCCAAGAAGTATATTGCAAAAAAAGTACAACTTACATTTATTCAAGTGGGTTCAGTTCACACTCAGGTTACAGTCGAAAGGAGAAAGATCGCTGCTCTAGGAGACTGGGACTTGGTTGGATCTTCCTGGACCTGCTGTAGCATGGAAGAGCTCTACTTGCTTCTGTCATGCTTTGAATAATTTTGTCAAGTTTGGAAATCTCTGAGGTCCCGCAGCATGCATCAAGCCTAGTTAGAGGCTTGACGGGACTTCTCCATGACGAGACAGAGAGCTGGTTCCACATGGGGGTGGGATAAACTGCCCCCACCGTGAAAGAGCAGTGGATGGAATAGGAGACCATACCCTATCCCCACACATCACTGGTAGCTGGCTCCACCCTTTTCCACCCCCTTTCTTCTCATTACCTTCGCACAAAAGCACCAACCTGATGAGAATCTTGCTGAACCTCCCCCCCCCCAACAATTGAGCCATGGCTCAGTTAAAGAGAAATAAAGCCCTGTTAAAGGGCTAAAAGGACAAAAGACGCTGGAACTTTGAGCTATCATACATTTTGGCTACCTTTCCCCCTTATTGTTGGAATGGAATAAATTGTATCTGGGTCACGTAATTATGTACAGCTTGGTAAGGTGATGAGACAGAATGTCATTCTGGATCAGTTAGAGGTCTTCCAAGGACAAAATAAAAATCGGTTGCATAAAAATCTCACATTAAGAACATAAGAACATAAGAACATAAGAGATGCCAATGTTGGATCAGGCCAAAGGCCCATCCAGTCCAACACTCTGTATCACACAGTGGCCAGAAATACCAGTGCCATCAGGAGGTCCACCAGTGGGGCCAGGACATTAGAAGCCATCCCACTGTTGACCCCCCCAAGCACCAAGATGACAGAGCATCACTTGCCCCAGAGTCCCTATCTATACCTTGTGGCTAATAGCCACTGATGGACCTCTGCTCCATATGCTTATCTAATTCCCTTTTGAAGCCGTCCATGCTTGTAGCCGCCACCACTTCCTGTGGCAGTGAATTCCAAGTGTTAATCACTCTTTGGGTGAAGAAGTACTTCCTTTTATCTGTTCTAACCCGACCGCTCAGCAATTTCATGGAGTGCCCACGAGTTCTTGTATTGTGAGCAAGGGAGAAAAGTAACCCTTTCTCTACCTGCTCTTTCCCATGCATAATCTTATAAACTTCAATCATGTCACCCCTCAGTCGTCGTTTCTCCAAGCTAAAGAGCCCTAAGCGCTTTAACCTTTCCTCATAGGGAAAGTGTTCCAACCTTTTTATCATTCGAGTTGCCCTTTTCTGCACTTTTTCCAAAGCTATAATATCCTTTTTAAGGTGTGGAGAGCCAGTCTGGTGTAGTGGTTAAGTGTGCGGACTCTAATCTGGGAGAACATGATTGAGGTTTATAAGATTATGAATGGGAAAGAGCATGTAGAGAAAGAGGCACTTTTCTCCCTTTCTCTCAATACAAGAACCCGTGGGCACTCCATGAAATTGCTGAGCGGTCGGGTTAGAACGGATAAAAGGAAGTACTTCTTCACCCAAAGAGTGATTAACACTTGGAATTCACTGCCACAGGAAGTGGTGGCGGCTACAAGCATGGACGGCTTCAAAAGGGAATTAGATAAGCATATGGAGCAGAGGTCCATCAGTGGCTATTAGCC